TTATTTCTGACCGTCGTGTGATATCAAGTGTTGTGTTTTGTCATGTTTTTAGACGGGGAAACCCATTACACTTGTGCCAAGAGCGCTACAGGAAGATCCAGAAGCTGTGGCGCCAACACAGCATCACAGAGGAGATCGGCCATGCTCAGGAGGCCAATCAGACTTTGGTGGGCATCGACTGGCAGCACCTGTGAAGTCACGTGATGCTTTCCCACACCTTCGCCCACCCTTAATACATAAGGGGACCCACACAGCAGAGCTAGAGGTTGCCAAGGTGTCACCATGGCCTCTTGCTCTTCCTCCACCCCTTTCTCCATCTTTCTGACAGTGTGACTTTCGTTTTTTTTTTTTGGTGGGAGATTTTTCTCTTCCCATTTTCTTTTAAATATGATATAAATACATATTTAAAAAGAGACACACACACTCTCTCTCTCTCTCTCTCTCTCTCTCTCTCTCTCTCTCTCTCTCTCTCTCTCTCTCACACAGACACACCCCTCACTCACTCGCTCTCTCTCTCTCACACACACACCTCACTCTCTCACTCACTCACTCACTCAAAGTAGTACAATAGTTTGTGAACATCAAAAGTACAGTAGGTTGTGAACATTTTCACATTAGGTGCTTCCAAAATCATGTCTTAGTAAGTACTACATTTGACACGGAACAAATTTTGCAACCGTTGTTTAAAAAAAGTATAGTAGTAGTAGGTCATCTGGTCATCTTTTTACCTACTGTTTTATGAATACCATGAATTTGAACATACTACTTATTTCACATACTGTTTTTATATGTAGTCTTCAAACAAAAATAGTCATTAATTCTTCTCTCTTTAGACCAAATAAATTAAGCTCATGAGAAATTTGAATCGAGGATTGAATTAGGAAAAACTTGAATAAATTGACAATTTTCATTTTTGGGTGAACTATCCCTTTGACAGTAGTGAAAAGGGAGGTCACCATGGCCTCTTGCTCTTCCTCCACCCCTTTCTCCATCTTTCTGACAGTGTGACTTTCGTTTTTTTTTTTTGGTGGGAGATTTTTCTCTTCCCATTTTCTTTTAAATATGATATAAATACATATTTAAAAAGACATATAGCCAAGGTATTGAACCCAAACAATATGGGTTCCTTCGCAACACATATATTCTTCATAGGAATGCTATTTAATTTCTTCTCCAAGTAATATTCAATTAAATTCAAGGTATTTTGTTTAAATATATAGGTTTCGCAAGACGGTTCTCTTATCGCTTGGGAATTGACCGGTGGTGCTGCCCTTCAAGTTAGCACAAATGTCCCTCAACGCCCATGCGGGGATAGCGCCACCTGTAGGATACACAGCATCCTCTCTGCCCCCGTCATCTCGAATGCTGCAGTACATTTGTTAAGGCCACCTGATTAACGTTCTCATGTTCATACAATACAAGCCAATGCGGGGAAGATCCGGGAGCACATGAATATGTCCTTGAATGCCTGGTTTCTGTTTGTCTGGGATGTGTATGTGGTTGCGCGAGTGAGTTTTTACGTACAGGTGTTTAGTTGGTATGTTTCTAATATGATGGATTTCTAAGGTGGTCCATTTTTATGACCGTTTGTTTCTCGTTCTTTTGTGATGCGTATTATTTATGTGTTTCTTGTGGCTGTGTGTTGTATGCGAATCATGCTTTCCACGAACTGAACATGAATTCCACTCTTAAACATGATTTTGACGTGCGTGCCGTGTGTTGTGATTTTGGACATTTTGTTTCTTGATGCATATTTCCTGAGACACTTCCAGTGGCTGCAGCAGTGTATTACATCACAAACTGACTTGTTAATATGTGAATTCTTGTATAAATGGGTACATTGTACTATATTGTAAAACATTAATGAAATAAAAAAGAGAAAAAAACTTTGTTTAGCATAAAATGTATTGATGAATGAGCTGATTACCCATCAGTGTTTTTATGCTGTGAAGTAACTGTTCTGTGTGTTCCAGAACAGGTAGGCTTAGTGGCCTCATGCAAGCTAATGTGTGACCCATTTTGCTGGCTACAATTCTTCTTAACTGTGCTCCAGTTCTATCCAAATCTCTTGTTCATCCAGGAACGCTGCAATAAAGAGGATTAGGTCTGTCCAGCTCACTGACTACATAGAGTTGCGGAGTCTTAGACCAGGTTTTGACTAAGTCAGTTACTCAAAAGTAATTGTGTTCGAACTGAAACTATAAATTGTGAACTACTGAATTAATTTTTGGTGGTATAATTGTTTATTCTGGTTATTGTCTGTGCATATATTTCACCAACACACAATGATCTATTTGGGCGAACAAAGGATGTTCACCCGTTCACATCAGGAACGATCGCTATATTAATCAGGGTTGCCAGACCTGATTTACAAAACTTGGCCAAATATCAAAACTCAAAATTTGCCACTTTCATAACTGAAATGCATTTTACAGTAACTGTTATTGTAACTGTCACTTAGAGCATTTACGGTAATTCGAGGTAGAATGAGAACTGCGCATGTGCATAGAATGTGCTTGTCTGGAAGCAGTGCTGCCAAGACCGTGGTTTTCCCGTGGAATTGAGCTACTTTAACACGGTTGCCGCGGGGGTTGTTTTTCCATGTCCGCGGGTTGAAGCGACCCCAATAACGTAATATTTAGCCCCTGGAATGCGAATTTTACCAAGGTAACCCTGCCAAAAAAACGTGTATTTTACCCCCCGAAACGCGATTGGGCTAGTTTTGAGTAGCAATTGGGCGAATTTTGTTGTGAAAACCTGGCAACCCTGTCTGGAAGAGAATGAAAAAGGTGAGCAGGAGAACAGATGACCGCTCTACCGACCTTGTACTCTTTTCCTTTTATTTTCCTGTTTTTGTTTGTGACCTAAGTTGAATGTTTATTTGTATCCATTCTCTCACTCCACCCCACACGTGTGGACGAGTGTGACGACGATGTTTAAGTCGTTTTATTAAACCCCGGGAAAATACGCCAGCTCTCGCCTCACCTGCATCATTTCCTCGAGCTCTACACGTTTTTCTCTCTGGGCAACAACATTTAAACTCTGTGTTACCTTATGCATATCACAATTTAACTTGAAAACCAATAGACTAGTAATAATCTTACATCCAGTACCCCTTCCTCACAAAACGTAACATCTTGGTAGAATGTAAATTGGGTAACATTGCATTTCAAGCATTTCAGTCAAATATAATGCACGCTGTATGCCAAACCTGCGGCAACAGTTTAAATGTTGCCCAATTACGCAGAAAAAGAACATTGGACTTGTCTACTACTCGATTCGCTTCCACGCTTTCAGTTGTGTAGCGATTTTGCATGACCGTTAGTGTAGTAGCCTACAGTTAATCGGCTGGGGAAAAAAATCGTTCCTCTGTGTTGTTATAGTTAGTTGTGTTGTGAACTTCCATATTCTCATAGAATAACATTTAACGTTGCATCTTTAATCTTGTTTAATCTCATGCTTACAGAAATTTACTGATGAAGAATGTTCGCCATTCAAAATCTACCGATGACAATGACGCCGCTGCTCCTGTATTGAACCTTTTTCCCGCATTATGTGTTTTGACTTCCTTGGCTGAATAGCGAGATAGAAAAAATGAAATGCTGGCTGCAGCTGACAAAGGTGATTTCATTTATGCAGATTATAATTTAAGATTGTGAAGGTGAAGGTCTATCTAAAACTGACACGGTTCCTTTGCTACCCGTCGAACACTGTCGTTTAGTTCAGAAAATTGACGGTTGCGTTTGTGTCATAAATCTTTTGGGTCGCTTTTGGTGTTAATCTTGGGAAGTTCAAGAACAACTTCTTGTACAAGAGACTGGGGTGCTCACAATGCTCCAGCAGTGCTTGTTTTCTGCTCCTGTGAGACGCACCTGTCCCAGAGCTTCACCTGAGGTAAGCTGCTCCACAAAGCTGATTAGCTGCTCTTATCCAGCCAGTAACTGTTTATGGACTTCAGGGCTGGAGAAAATACCAGATGACACATGTCCTGTTAGCGCTCACTACCTGTACCCAAAGTTAGACGTTTTCACCCTAATTAATTTTCATTTTACTTAAATTTAATATGAAGTTAGTATTAGTGTTAAGGGTAACACTTTACTTGAAGACAGTTGTCATAAACATGCATAAAAACCTTCATATTCATGACATGTGTCATGTCATGATTATGAAGGTGTCATGTCAGTCTTATGCACACCCCTTCAAGTAAAGTGTAACCGTGTTAAGTATTAATTACTATCAAATTAAGTCCATTTCTCCTGGATGGATGGATTGATTTGACTGTATTTGTGTGGAATTATGATGAAAACAAAGTCTCAATGCAATAAATAAACAGTTCTTAAAATAAAATAAAATTAGGCATCTTGATTGGGTTTTTAATTGTCCATTCTAGACAGGTTTCGTGACATTTACGCATGCATATTAGAGTGCAACCATTGGGTTCCCAAACTCCATTCATTTTCTCCAAACTGGAAAATAATGTTTTAACAAGAATTTGAATGAGAGGAATAGTTTACCCAAAAATGAAAATTTTGTCATCATTTACTCACCCTCCTGTCGTTCCAAACCAATATAAGTTTCTTTCTTATGTTGAACACAAAAGAAGATATTTTGAAGAACCAAACAGTTGTTGGTCCCCACTGTCTTCCACAGTAGGAAAAGAAATACTATGGAAGTCAATGGGAACTTTCAACTGTTTGATTACCAGCATTCTTCAAAATATCTTGTATGTTCAACATAAGAAAGAAACTCATACAGGTTTGGAACAACACCAGAGTGAGTAAATGATGACAACATTTCCATTTTTGGGTGAACTATCCCTTTAAAGATGCTGATATATGCATTTGTTAAAGATATCTGTCACTTCTTTAACAGTTGTTTAACAGTGGAATTGGTTATGTTAAATAATAAAATATATAAATGTTGCTGTACAAAAATTTTGCGTCAGTCTCCCTACGCTCTCAAAATATATAAATGTAAAGAGGTCATTGAAAAGCAGCGACTGTAGTGTGGCATTCTGCACGTCATCAGACAGAATGTTTCTAAATAATACATATTCCCTTATACATATTTATACATGTTAACTAAAATATTAATGTTGAAAAACATTTGTGTTAATGTTGTTGTTTTTTTTGTCCAAAGGTATTCTGAGGATGGGTATTCAGCTGTTCTGAGCAGGACAAAAGCCTCATTTAGAGAAATCCATTTCCTTCTCTTCATCCAATCAGGTAAAGCTGTGTCCAGCTGGGCCTCTGCTGTCCAAACATTACTTTACCCCACTTTCACCCATCATATGTAAGTCTTTTAAATAGTCTTTTAAGTCTTTTAAACACCAAAGTAAATACCAGTAAAACAGAAACAAAGAGTCACATCTGTTCAGGGCAAGGTGTGTGTTAGGAACCACGAGTACACACATATATACAGTATATTGAGAAAAATAACTGACGAACACTGAATCTAATTAAACATCTTTATCTCACAAATGGAGTTTCCTACATGATCCACTCAATCCACAAAAACTGACATAGGTCAAATATACAGAAAGAGTTGTCTGTGAAAATGTATAATTCACACAAATGATATGAAAAAAAAAAGAATACAACTGATTGGGTTGTCTGACTTAGATTAACAAATCACACACAACTGACTAAAATCTTTTACAAGTTAATTGTCCCACAACTGTATGCCCAACAGAGCACTGAAGTTGAAGCACAAAGCCTGTTTGTTAGGCAGATATTTAACCCGAGAACTACACACATTAATGGTGAACATGTTGAGTACAATATTCTGTTGTTACAGAATAGTTTCCCCATTGTTGCAGAGTTCTGCTCTCCAGTAGATCACCATCAACATGCTTTTGAAAATCGTCAGACAACCTAAGGCCTGTTAAAGGCAGCGTTGTGTAAAAAAGCAAGGTGTGCCACTGTTTCCATCCCTTTAAGGTCTGGGAGGTGACTGAACGTTTACAAAAACACATTTTCCTCAGCTGCCGGTTAAAAGCTGCCGTGTGACCCCTTCAAGAAAAGTGATTTCTTACTGAAAAGTTAATAGCGCCTGATGGCTTTATGGTGAAATGTGTTATTGTATGTGTGAGGCTGTCGGGTTAAACATCCGCTTAACCAATGAACTGGAAATATAAGGATCAAACTTTATACTGCTACAGACGGACGTGGACAGTGATGCTTATTTGGTCGGAATATCAGATATGGTTAGATGATAATATCAGAACATTTACAGATATATTTCATTCTTAAAATATTAAAAAATAAACTTACATTTTATTTGTATTTACATTGTAGTGTGTACATTCACATCAATTGGAATCTCATTCAAATGTAGGTGTACTGATCCCATATGTATGCATATAAGAGAGAACATTTTAATCAACCTTTAATGCATTCCTTCTCCCAAAGGTGGGAGTGGCCACAGACATGATGGGGTGGGAGGGGGCATGACTCTCTCAGCTTTATGTGGGAGCCGCTTCTGCATCTCCCTCCTGTACCTGGTTGCTTTTAAACAGCGACGTGATCTTCGTCATGTCAGAAAGTGTCTCCTTCACACTCTTTTCCAGCAGCCATCCCTCACTTTCGCTCTCAGGATTCTCTGGGTCTGCCAGGGTTTCCAGTGAGGTGCTCAGGTACTGCAAACCAACAGTCTCGACAGCCTGTGGCAAACAATTCAGATGAACTTAAATTCATTTCACAGTAGAACTAAACATGCTTCACGAATATATGTTTCTATTTGGAAGTGATTACGTCATTGGAATATATATATATGCCCACAAGAGGGTTTTCTTAGGTTAATGAATGTCTAGAAATTCCACACATGCTCAATACAGCATCATTGTTGTGTGCTTCTGATGTTTTGACCCACATGAGTTCCAGGAAATATCCAGTTTGGCAACAAGATCTTAGGACTTACACCTTCAGTTCAAGCTAAGGATAACCCTCTTGGACTACCTTTTTTTTTTTTGCACATTAGGTGTTGTGTCACATTATGCAATCAATAACAGATTGAAGGTTTGCTGTGCCCATCTACTAAACTGTGTATGCATGAATATATAGTTTCAGTGTATTTGGAGGTAGTAGTAGTAATGTAGACAAGTTCTGTTAAAGGAAAATGTGAATATGCCAAGTTCTTGTTATTTTTCAACTTCTCACTTGCTTGTCACCTATATCTTGTCATGCCATCAACACAAAGTGTTAATCAAATCAATTAAGCAGATAATTAATCTGATGCTTTCAGACCTATTTATATTACTCTTTACGCACCAACTGACCTAATAATCTAGCGGCTCACTTTATAATCTAGCAGCACACTCGTTACCCACCAAGAGTGTAATCTAGTGACAAAGTCAAATGCCATGAGGTAGCTGTGTTCAACTTTGGATTCCATTCCCTCTCACCCACCCACCTGCATAATAATGAACAGCAGCACAAAAGCACCAATACTGTTCATCATGCCCCCATAGTAGGACACCAGGGCCTCACGGCAGCCCCTGGTCCAGATGTTTAGGTCCTCAGTGTGGTGGTCGTAGCTGTAGTGAGCGGAGTTGGTGGTCAGGTGATGTTGGATACAAGGGCGAGGAGAGCCAGGGTTGCAACAGCTGAAGGGAACGCTTTCCATCAAGTATTTGCCTTCCACGTTGCTCTGGACACGACTAAGAAATTGCAAAGATTGAACTGTTAGACAGATATTTTAATTATATCGACTGGGACATATTCTTGGTTGTGGCAATTAAGATTTCAGAAGTGGCAGTCTTAGAAACATAACTCAACAAATTTGTATATCCATATTAACTTTGAGACTCAACTTTGAGAGCTGAGGACTCCATTCTGATAATAAGAAGGTCACCTCTTTTAAATTAGATGGGAGGTAAACATTGAGGCCAACTCCATGGAAGGTAATAGATTGCACAATGTTATGATTGGTGTGGAAGGTAAGCTTTAAAGGACTTGGGAATAGGATCCTGACAGGTTATCTAATCCATGGACCCATGTGCCCCCTTTAACCCATTCCCTCTTAATAAAACCCACCAGCCAATTATCTACTTAGGAATCTCTCAAAACAAACTCTGAAATTTGATTCCACTTGCATTCAACAACAGTTTTCAGGGGATCTGCTTTGAGACTTTGAAAACATTGTTTCATTACAACATTTGTGTTATTTTATGTCTTGGTTATCATCAAATGATTGCATAATAAAGTGTCTTTTGGGCTACACTTCCTGAAGAGCAGAGTAAAATATGCATCAACTGATCTCTATCCGTTTAGGTGCCTTACTTTCTTAAACAAGCTTAAGCTTCCTCAAAACCCAGTGAATATCAGGCTTCATTACTTCATCCTAATAATGTTCAATGACTGATACCTTATGAATTTGACTACATCTATGGTAACAGTTAATATTTTACACATTTTGCTATGATAATGAATCACTGGAATTCAGATGTCACAAGCCAACAGATGAAAGAGAAAATGTATATAAATTATCCAGAATCTCTTCCACTTAGATCCCACCTCTTATACACATTTCCACTAGTACTCAGTACTAAAGTCAGTACTCACGCTTTAACCTCATCATTGCTAAAGTCCAGGTAGCGGTTGCTTATCCACTGGATCTCAAACCAGTCCTTGTAGTTGTTGTTGCCACAGCAGCGGAACTCAATCTGGGTCATATCTAGGGTTCTCTTCATGAAGCATCGTCCTGGCGTGTCTGTATCTTTGTAGTACTTCATTCCATTCTTCAGGCCTTCAGCCAGGGCGAAATGCAGAGAGATCTGCATCAAGAAACACAGCAGAGCCATGACAAAAAGGGCGATGCAGAAAACCACACATCCACTCATGTAGGTCTTCAACATTGGTTTCCACTTGGTGAACTTGATTGTGTCAAGGGAGTCATGGCACACTTTGCCCCCAAAAGCGTTGATAACACAGGCCACAAGTCCCGCCAGAATGAGCAGGTTGGGCACAAAATGTCTCTCGTTGTTATCCATCATCTCGCTTCTTTTGCGCAGCTCGATCTTGAAGAAAATCCCCATGCTGAAGATGAGGATCCCAGCCATGACAGAGAGCCAGTACAGGAACCACAGTACTTGGGCCAGCTTGACCCGCTTGGGCAAGTCAAATTTTATAGGCATCAAAGCCATGTTTTTGTTCTCGGTGATTAATGAGTCAAAACAATATATTCAGAGTTATTCTTCTTTAGTATGATTAATTTGTTTCAAAGGTACGATTCAAGTTGTCCTATAATTCAACTTGTCTTTCCCTTGTTGAAATTCTTGAAGACCATGAACAGAAACATTGTAGTCCAGAAGCTTAGTTTAGTAATCCGTCATCAAGCGTGGAACGTGCAGTAGCAAGAATTCCCCTTTCCATATCCATTCTGACCACCAACAATTCAAGAAAGTCCATGCTGTTGGCAACCAGAGGCCTTTTCCTCTGGGATTTCACATAAATCCACCCAAATGGACCAGCTGGAGGGCTATGTGGCTTTTCCTGATGGTTCCCTTCCCTGCAAAAGAGGGTGGCCGGCTAAGGAGCTGTGTGATTGTAGAATCAAGTTCCTCTACGTCATCCTAAAACCCACTAATCAGCGCTGATCCCATTTGCAGATGAGCTGAGGACTCTAATCCTTTATCTTACTTTGTAATTGGTTAGTTACTTTAGCATCAGTTTCCTCTTTTACTTGCTGGTATTGCCTGGCTCTGGGGTATCTCTGGGTAGTCTTCAAACCGAACCATTGTTGTCTTATTTCACAAGAATTGGAAGTTACATCATGCGTTGGTGGTCTGCGTATATTATATTAGTATGCTCAATTCACAAATAACACATTTAGACATGTCTACAAGGGTAATTTCTGCCACTTTATTTTAGAAGAACTTTGAATAACTTATATAATAATCATACATTTTATCATCAAATACGCAATTTTTAAAAAATCTACTTTGCTGAAATACTACAGGGGGCACATTTAATGGGCATGATACTGTACTTCTGCTAAATGTAAGCTAACCAAATCTATTGCAAGGGTAGTAGAGATCAGGGTAGAAGATTGTATCAAAGAATTTACCTGGCCCTCAGACAGGCCTGACTGATCCTAATGTTTATCCTAACTGCACACAAAGTTGTATAGGTCTCCTAAGATTTGTATCGCCCAGAATTGTAATTGAACAATCCTTATCCTTGGTCAAGCCTCTCGTAGAAACTTTAAAGCTATGGACACAAGCATTCCTTCTTCCCTTAGAGGTGATTTTTCATGATGAATGATGATCAAGCCACATTATTGATGTCAGTAGTTTGCAAATTTTTATTCCTCACCAATTCATGGGAAGACAGGAGCTTCCAGTTGTAAAACCCATCCAGACAGACTTTTCCCCCAAGTCAATCTGATGTACTTTATCAAAGAGCAATCAGCTCATTTGACAGTTGCCGTGAAGAGGAAATCAATGTTCTGTGCTTGTAACTAACCCTATTTGTAGCAATCACAAGCTCTTATAATTAGTAGTGAACTTTAAGTCCTTTGCCATTTTGTGTAAGCCTAATCAAATACCTAAACATTCTGGCTCAGCGGCAGTAAGTGACGATTAAGACTTTTGGTGGATTGACCCCAAGTCTCTTGTAGGGTCTCTTGTAAGAGCAGTTGACCTGACTTTAGGCTAAGAGCTAATTTGTTGAGTTGTAGAGTTGCCTTGCAGCTGTGTCTATAAGAGAACCCAAAGGGTGTGCATCACCACTGTAATTAGCGTGCACTGGTCACATGTGACAAGATTAGAAGTACTGATAGTATTTGAGTGACTTACTGTCCGATCCATTTAGAAGGACACGTAGGCACTGGATGAATAGCACGCGATGATTCTTCCTCAGCAACTGAAATGTTGGGGTAGCTTGTTACATTGAGGCTAAAGTGTGCATGTGTATTCCTGTTTGTAGGTGAGCCGGGGAGACTATTTTGGTTGGATGTTGTTAATCTGAGGCATTCTGAACTCAACATATATGCCAATGAACAGCATAAACTGTTTTCCTTTTTGTGATGACCTCTTGTATAGTGGGCAAATTCCAGTCGGAAGTGAGCATCCTTATGCCCTACTCACTCTGAAAGGCAGAACCCATGAAGTGGGCACCTTGGAGGAAGCAGGGCACTTGCGTGTCAATGTAGCCATTTGGATCGCACTTGGCAAAGGGAGCAATGAAAGACAACATAATTCCCTCATTATCTTCACCTGAAATGTTACCATGGCAATGCAGTGTGGCATCCATCACCACATGAGCTGTTCTAACAATGGGAATTCCTTATTATTACTGTTAAAGGGATAATTCACCCAAAAATGAAAATTCTGTCATTAATTTCCCACCCTCATGTCATCCCAGACCCGTAAAATATTTGTTCATCTTCGGAACACAAATTAAGATATTTTTAATTAAATCCGAGAGCTTTCTGACCCTCCAGAGACAGCAATGCAACTGCCACGTTCAAGACCCAGAAACGTAGCAAGGACATTGTTAAAATAGTCCATGTGACATCAGTGGATAAACCTTAATTTTATGAAGCTACGAGAATACTTTTTGTGTGCAAAGAAAACAAAAATAACAACTTTATTCATTCACGCATGTGTCGTGGTACTCTCGTGAATGCGCATCGAAGACTGACACGGAAGAGAAGAATTGTTGAGTAAAGTTATTTTAATGATATCCTTACCACCTTTCTTGGCCTTGAATGTGGTAGTTGCACTGCTGTCTATGCAGGGTCGGATTTCATCAAAAATATCTTAACTTGTGTTCCAAAGATGAACAAAGGTCTTACGGGTTTGGAACAACATGAGGGTGAGTAATTAATGTGTTTCCTCTTTATAAAACCATCTCTTCTTTGGACACAGCAGGTATAGTCACATTTATCTAACGCATCTACTATTGAACACATTTCTTAACTATGAAATTTGCATGATGATAATGTGTGTAATATATCACAGCAAAACAAAACAACTTGGATTATTCTGTTTATAAATTGTTCCATAAAATGAATCGCAAGGACTCACAATGGTTACACTTCTAGAAGGGCCCTTTGTGAAGGGATTCAGTTGTTCACTTTTTGTTTGGAATGGCCATATACAAATAGTGTCCCCTTCCAAAAGTGCCCTTCAAATGTGTAAAAGCAACATTTGGAATTCACCCTTTCTTTTAAATTGTACATTGCTGTAATTTCTTCTCAATTCTCAAAACAGAGAGAACTACAGTTAGGGTTGCCAACTGTCCCGTATTAGCCGGGACATCCCGTATTTTGGGCCTAATTGATTTGTCCCGTACGTGACTTCCCTTGTCCCGTTTTTTGACTGCAACACTGATCTAACCAACCACTGACTGATACAACAGCAGCAGTGCTGATCACTTGAGAATGATCACCGATACCTATTATCATCCAATCACAGCGCCCCTCACGCAGTATGCGTTAAGTAAATCAGAAATCGTGAACGGCTTGTCGCTCCAGCCTCACAGCAAGCGGCGCTCTCGCTAACGTCAATTCCGTCCATGTTTTGACTTCTGTAAATCAGTTTTGGTGAATACAAACTACTTAACGTGATTATTTTTCATGAGTCCAACATCCCGCCGCGCAAGAGACGTGATCAGTAAGGGAAGTCGTCTTTCACTATTGTAATGTTAAATAGAGAAAAACATGTTATATTTAAGTAAGATTGTCCCGTATTTTCATTTTCTGAAGTTGGCAACCCTAACTACAGTATATAGTTGTGATGACTGCAACAGATGAGAGGTTCATGTTCAAAGCTCTTACTATTTCTACACATCCTGCATAGTGAACTTTGCTGACACCTTGTGGCAAGCTGTGAAATAGTTTCTCTCACAATAGATCACAACAGTGCCTACCCACTTTTTCAGTGGCCCAGGTTCTAGAAACGTTTCTCCATTCATTGTTTTCACATAGATTTTGAATAAAACAGCTTTTTGATTGAATTTTGTAATGATTGTAATTAGCCCTTTATTTGGCCATCAATTTTCCAAAAAGTGTGTCATTAAATGCTTAGTTTCATGACAATTATAACTGATGCTTTAATGCTTAAATAATGCTTTAATAACATCTGTGATTTCAGTAGCAAAAATGCTTGTAGAGTTGGTAAATTACTTACAGAATGTGAATCAGTTCAAACTGTCAATTTCTGTAAACTGACTCAAAACTCTGTTATACAATTTGTCATCATAAATTGAAAACAGAAGTCTATGCATGACGTTATTCATATAAAAAAAATGTTTTAGAAATCATGAAACTTAAAATATGGAGAAATACCAGTTTGGGCAATTTGTATTGGTCTAATAATTAAATTCCTTTGGCTACTTGATTAATGCAAATGTTAATATTATTATACAATAAAAAATATTAAAATTCCTCTGAGTTTGTATCTGAGTAGTTTTGAGCTGTGCTTCATGGCCTCTCCCTGAGAGGAGCACATGCCTCTTCCTCGCAGGACACAGTTCTTTCTCAGATAAATAAACAGGGCCTTTCAGTTTGTCTGTGGATAATTAGCTGCAGAGTTCAGATTCACGCTCACTTCAAAGAGCAGCAGCTTCATTTTTCCCGCTATTGTGTTTCATTTAGACATTTTTTTTTTAACAAGGGCCACATGTTGCTCTGGCTTGCTGTCCAGGAGATCATTCTGAGAGCTAAGAACAGACTGCAGAATCTGTTTACTCATTATCTTACTGCATTGAAAGCCCTTTTTATGTATGAAGGCAACACCGCTTGCTTTCATGAGCTTTTAAATATTTTTCTGCCAGCCCACACTGCCTATTATTCTTACACATACTAGATAGATAGATAGATAGATAGACAGACAGATAGATAGATAGATAGATAGATAGTCTGTTTAAGTAACTTGATGACAGAGAGCGAAAAAGAGGGAGGTAATGATGAACAGACAGAGGAAGCTGAAGAGGAGGATTGGTGACACATGCACATTGTGCCCTGGACGTGGAGGAGGGGGGGCATTACAAGAATTTTATAACAAGCACAAGGGCATTAATATGTCAGGGGTTCATTGGAAGCAGATGTGTGATTTATTTTTACAGGCTGGTAGTTTGGGTCGTTGCAACAGGCATTGAAGCTATTCTTGCAGCCCCTTTCCTCCCTCACCTCCTCTTCCTCTGCTATAAACCCACAGCCTATCGCTGTATCATGATTGTTTTTCTCTCATACGGAAATCTGCTACTGTGTTTGCATTGCTGCACTTGCGTGTGAGAATGAGCTGTCCTGTTTTGTAAGGATTTAAAATAAGAATATTTATGTAATATTTTGAATACACTCTAACCAAATGTTTTGGTACACAATAACTGCTTATAATGTTTCACATTTTAGAATAATAGCAAATTCATAAAAACTATGAAAACAATGGATTATGGTAATAATTGACTATATATAACTTTATATTTATTTATAAAACTAAAAGATTTTGAGAAAAAAAGTGTCTGCATTTTTTTAATATATATATATATATATATATATTTTTTTTTTTGTTTTTTTTTGTTTATAGTGTATAACATTTTTCATGTCCACT